AAAATAATGTCTAGATTTACACGGGAACGCCCAGGGATGTGCCACAGGTTCCTTTATAGAATCATAGGCTTTCCCTTCTTTTTTTTTTAAATTTTATTTATTTATGACAGACAAGTAGGCAGAGAGGCAGGCAGAGACAGAGAGAGGAGGGAGCAGGTTCCCCGCTGAGCAGAGAGCCCGATGCGGGGCTCGATCCCAGGATCCTGGGTTCATGACCTGAGCCGAAGGCAGAGGCTTTAACCCACTGAGCCATCCAGGTGCCCTTTCCCTTACTTCTTACGAAAGATGCACCATCTGAAGCTTCGTTTCTTTTAAGGACTGTGTTCTTCTTTCCCCCTCTTTTTTCATAGTAAAAAAAAAAATTTTAATACAAAAAGTATAGAAATATATCACATATAAAATATATGCCATATTACTTTGCTGGAGTTTAAACCCAGAAAACCAGAGACATGATGAGCTGAGCATCTACACAGAGGTATGTCTGCATTCTGCTGTTGGAGAAAATTGTTGCAACCAAGCCTCAAGTCCTGGTATTTATAAGGGATGTGTAAGAAATTAAAAAGATACCATTTGTTCCTAGACATGCATCCTTCTCCTATGAGGCTCCCCACCAGGCCATTCCAGCCCCCTTTAGGCTGCATCCTCAGTACCACATGTGTCTTAAGTGACATTCCTGGATCCCTGTATCTGTTTTCTAGTTCTCATGGCTTCTGTGCCTCTCTTCGGGTGGGCACACCCTGGGTTGTCAGTTCTGGTAAAGTGTAGGACATTAAGGCACAGAAACACTTGCTTGTCAAACATTAGAATGGAATTTTTCCTTCTCCTTATCTTCTCCCCCTCCCTGCCATTTTTTTCATCCTTCCTTCCTTCATTCCTTCCTTCCTTCTTGTTTTCCCTTTCTTCTCTATCTTTTTTTTTTTTAAGCTTCTTAGTGGAGAGAAGTGGGGTTTTGGTTAGGATAGAATGAAGATGCAAAGATTTTTATTAAAGTAGACTTGTGAGTGTTCCATGAGATCACATGTTCATATTAGCAAAGAAAGGGCTTGTGTTGCAGAAGCTTCCGTCTGTGAAGGCTGAAGGCCAAGGCTAACATCTCTAAGAGAACAAGGGCTGTACCACCATTCTTCTAAGGCAGATCCAGGAGGCAGGTGGGGAGAGCTGTGTGAAGGAGGAGGAAGGACAGAAGGTCAGGATGAGCTAGAGGAGAGCCAAGGACAAAGGAGGCCACAGAAGGAGCTTCCTTTGGATGCTTCTCCAAGCTGAATTCTGTGTAGAACTTGGAGAAGTTACTGTCACAGTAAAGGGTTTGCCTCTTTCTCTGCACTCCGGTTGTGTTCAGGCATAGCTAATAGTACAATTACTTTCCTTCTGGGCTATATTTGCAGAACTTTCCAGATGTCACATAGATTATGGTGGAGAGGGAGGGGAAGTGGGGGGACAGCTGGAAATGTGAAGTCAAGACCAAAAACCACACATAGTCTCCACCTTATGGACTCATTAAGAGGCCATAAGGTAACCTGGAAAATAAAACCCATGTAAGAAGAAAACAGTGGAAATCATCCACAGCTTCCAAGTCGACAGATTCGTTTCCTGATTCGCCACCCAGTGATGGTGGGTGGTGAGGAGACCCACAGAGATGCAGTCCCTGCATTTTGTGATGCATTTCAGAAGGAGATTTGAGATTTCTAAGAACTGGAAAGATGGTCCAGCCAGAAAGTTCTGAAAACCCAGGCAGGGGGCTCTTGGCCCACAGCTCTGCCTGCCCTGGGCACGGTGCCCGTGTGACTGATCACGGCTGCTGGGTTTTCACGGGCACCAAGCACACAAGGAAAAGGGCACAGATTTGGTCCCTGCAGTTGTATCCAAGGCCTGGAGAGCAGTTTGCAGCCTCGGGCACTGCCAGGTGCCGAGCTGTCTCAGCCCTTGGGGACTGTCTTTTGCTAGCTGGCGAGGATTGTAGGACGGGTGACTGTCGTGTTCAGCCTTGGGTGCACATGAGAATCACCAGGTCAGCTTTTGGCAACAAGCAGGAGGGTTACACATCTGTATCATATAAACCACAATTGGACGGATGCGTTTCAAAAGCTTCCCAGGGCATTCTGAAGGATGGACAGGGATGACTCTTTCCAGGCTTTCTGGGGAATTCTGTCTCTGCCTCTGTCCCTTCCCTCCCCTTTCGATTCCCCTCAGCCACTCTTCCCTTCCCCCTCCTCCTCCCCTCTATTAAAAACTATTGTGACGATGACTTATTTCTCCAAACACCTTGATTCTCCTTCTAAATACTGAAAACGTACTTTCAACTTTCAGGGATCTGTTTCCAAATATTCTATAGGCATATAGGAGCCTGGTTCTCAGTATGTGTATTCATAAAATGGCAGCTTCACCTGTGGGCCAGGCTGGCTGGGGCCCTTGGTGGGAGGAGATTAAGAAACAAGGAATGAGGGGCACCTGGGTGGCTCAGTCAGTTAAGTGTTAAGCACCTGCTGAGGTCCAACCTGAGATCCCGCCCTGCATCGGGCTCCCTGCTCATCTGTCGTCTGCTTTTCCCCCTGCCACTCCCCCCTACAACCATGCACACACACACACACACACACACACACTCTCTCTCTCTCTCTCAAAGAAACAAAATCTTTAAAAAAAGTAATGGAACTAAAGAAACTTAGGGTCATGATTTTCCATTTCTCCATCATCCTCGTTGGCACCTCGACCCACTCATAGGCCTGTGAAGGACACCAAGTCCTCAGTTCCTTCATAAAGAGAGGTCGATGACAGCTGGAGGGGTGACTTTAGCCCTCACAACACACCAGCCCTCTACTAAATATACACAGATGAATAAGAAGACACTTCCACTTTTTGGAAAAGATGTTATTTATTTTGAGAGAGAGACGGAGTATGTAATAGTGGGGAGAGGCAGAGGCAGAAGGAGAGGGAGAAGCAGATGCTCCACGGAGCAGGGAGCCCGACTTGGGACTCGATCCCAGGAACCTAGGACATGACCTCAGCTGATCAGAGCTTTGCCAACTGAGCCCCCACCCACCCCACCCCACCCCGTGCCCCTAGAAAATACTTTCACTTTTAAGTGGGTTAAATTTAAATATTTTACTGTAGTACAAGTTTTAAAGCTTGTGAATGGGACCATTTGAGCTGAGTCTCAGAGATGGGGTAGGAATTAATGGGGCGAGAGGGAAAGGGTCCTTCTGGGCAGAAGGGAGAGCAGGCAGGGGCTCGGCGGTGAGAGACGCATGCGCCCTGCGGGATCTGTGGGTCGCCTAGTGGGCTTGCTTTTCGCTCGCAGGCTGAGAACTAGCCGTCGACTGAACGGTATCAGGCCTCCCTGCCTCTTCTGATTTCGGATTTAGAACCTGGCTTTGGGTGGTCTTTCCATCCAAATTGAGCTGCACCACAAATTTAAATTTTGTATATTTATTCTTTGGGTGGTGGTGGTTTTCCTCTCTTCCCTGCCAGTTGGCCGGCATTTTGACTGGGAGAGGATAGGGAGGGAGGAAGTGAATCCCCACCTGATTTATAGGCTCGACAACACACGCGTGCACACGCGCGCACACACACGCACACACATAGGGACACACATAGGGGAAGCTGCTTTTCCGGCTCAGGATAAAGACTTTCTAGTGATAAGTTCTCCAAGGCTCCTCTATGGAATTGGGCCTGGGAATTCAATTTTTTTTTAAGATTTTATTTATTTATTAGACAGAGATTACAAGTAGGCAGAGAGGCAAGCAATGAGAGAGAGGGGGAAGAAGGATCCCTGCTGAGCAGGGAGCCCAATGCGGGCTCTATCCCAGGACCCTGGGATCACGGCCTGAGCTGAAGGCAGAGGCTTTAACCCACTGAGCCACCCACGCGCCCCAGGGAATTCGAATTTTTAAAAGTCCACCCCCCACCCAGTCCTCCCACAGCACAGTCAAGACTGGGAACCACTGCCCTGGTGCCCAGTGCTGACCCAAGAAAGCGACATTCCGAGGATCACAGCCGACTTAGACGGTGCTAACAAAATGCCACGACTGACTCACAGGTCCTTGTATTAACTCCCTTAACCCCTGTCTAGCCCTGCAGAGGGAGTGCCTGATTGTTCCCATTTCAGACACCGGGAACCAGGCACAGGGTTCAGGTGCCTTGTGTGGGGCCCAGAGTCGACCCCTGGCAGAGCCCGAGTAAAGCTTGTCTTAGTCCTCGCCCGAGCTCTCTCCTCTTGAGTGGAGCCACTAGCCGCGCAGACACAGAGCAGTGCCGTGGCCCCCGCACGGTCTGAGCGGGGACATGAGGGACATGAAGGTAAGACATGGCCAGTGGTGTGGCCCCATCGGCTTCGCATCTGGCCCCCAGCAGGCAGGAAGTGAGGGTTAGACTGTTAAGGGTTCCGTGGTCCAAATGTCATTGACCCTAGGTGTGAGAAGAACCATGTGCCACGGACTGTGATGAGCAGGCTCCAGGTCACACAGGACCGTGGCTCTCAGCTGCCACAGCCAATGCCATCGGGAAGTCGCAGGCCTGTGGCTAGGAGAACTGAAAAGAGAAATCTCTTTCCTGAAATGGCAGGAACGTGGAGGGACTTTAGAGATGGAAAGTCGTGCTCAGGGCTGGATAATGAGAGGGTCGGGGAATTGTATTTCAGAATGTGGACAGCATGTCCCGGAACAAGCAGCCACCTTGGGGCATGAAGTCAAGGGTGGGAAGGTGAGAACCCAAAGGCTTTCGTACCCACAGACAGCGTCCATAAGCTTTCCACGGGTGTTGTCCTGCACCTCAGCTACCCCCCACCCCGACCCCACCGCAGGTCAAGTACAGGTCCACAGACTCGCCAGAGAGCATTTCCCCCTCTGCCACACGTTCTAGACCAGTTTCCCTTCACGGGCTCGCACATGTGCTCGTGGCCATGTTTGAGGACCTCTGAGGCAGCCTCCCAGCACGTCCCAGCTGTAAGGGCTGGGGGCTCTGGCCAGGGCCAAGGTGCATGTGATTCTCTGTGCTCCCTCTTTCAGGTACCAGCACTGCTTCTATGGGGTCAACCTGTCCAGCCTCCGGGGGGCTGCAGTGGACGAGTATTTCAGGCAGCCGATAGTCGTAAGTGGCTCTCATGGCAGGCTCTCCCCCACACGTTTTTCTGGACTCAATCACTCACTCGCTCCCATCACCGAAAAAAAGAAAGAGCTCCTTGGGACACTATGTTCTCAAGTCTTCCAGCTCTCATCTTCCAATCAATTAAGAAAGTTCTCAGAGAATGATGCGGTCACAAGCAAGGAGATTTTCTGACTGCCTCTCAATAAGTAACTTCTGATTACCCCACCGCCCTGACTCACCCCATGTCCACACTGAGCCCTCACACTTGTTCAATAATTCATATCTTCCCATTGATTCTGGTGGCCCGAGGCCTAATAGAAGAGGCAGCTTTGTAAAATAAATAACTTAGAACAGGAGCATTGCTGTCAAACAGATCGGGGTTTCCATCGTGGTCCCCTCTAACTGTGTGACCTTGGACAGTAATAATTTGGCATTACCCAAAACTGGCTTAATTACTGGCCCTCAAACCTGTAGAGCCTGGAGCTTGTGACCCACTGCTGGAGTTCGGACAGTATCACCCGAATCTGATTTCTCTATCCTGAAAATTTATCTCCGTTGCTTCTAATTTATCTCCGTTCCCAGACAGGGTCTCCCCTCCTGGTAGCAAGATGGCTTCAGGAACTCCTGCCTCAGATCTGTATAACTCTTAAGTCCCACAGAAGAGCCGGCTTTTCTCTAATAACTCGGGCCAAAGCCCCCGAATTAGTTTAGCTAGAGCCTGAGTGTCCTCCCTCGGTTTAGGTTCCTGCCTGTGAAACCATCTTCAGGGGAAAAGTCACGCACTGACTGGCCAAGCTAGGGTCACCGGCCATACTGGGAGCTGAAGGAGGGCTGAGTTTTTATGGAATTCCTTAGAATATGGTGAAGGGATAAAGTCTGGATGGTTGAAAACACACCAAACACCTGCTTCAGAAGCACTGGAGGACTGGATGACACGACCTTAGCACTTAGGAAAAGCATGAAGTACGTACGCCACGCTTGCATAGTAAGCCCGGAATAAACGCTAGTCGTCATTAGGGACCTTATTCTCATTAAGCTCATGCCTTCCAAATCCTAACCCTTGTTGACTTGAAATTTTGGGAGGAAAGCCAGCCCACAGTTTTGCTGGGGTTCCGTTTGTCCTGATAGAAAGATAACTTTTCTGCTGCTTCTCCCCCACCCCCCACCCTGCCAGGACACATTCGACATCCGGATTTTGATGGCTCGGACAGTCAAATACACAGTCAACTTCGTGGACGCCAAAGAGGCAGATCTCCACAGGTTCGTAAATAGCAGTGTGGCTCTTGGCTTTTACACTCTCCACCTCGCTCATCCCCAAACTTTAGCGCAGGGTTTTGCCACTCATGCAGGGGAGAGACCTGAGGTGGGAGTCTCACCCAGAACGGTGCAGCAGTGCTAATCGTATTTTACCGCCAAACGAGGGTGGTGAAGCTTCTTCCGTAGGATTGGTTTAAGAGTTGTGTGTATAACGTGAATAGCAATAGCTGGTGCTTTTGCAGTCAGTTGGCGTTCTGAGCCCTTTACACATACCGACTCACTGTGTCCTCACAACAGTACTCTGCGTACAGTACCGTGGTGACCTCCGTCTTACGGCAGAGTGGAACAGTAGGTTGTGCAAGGTCACAGAATGATGGAGGATGTGAGACTGTTCCAAAGGCTCCAGAGTCCTGGCTGCTGAAGTCCTCACCTGGGCCAGGAACATACAAGAAGCAGAGCTACAGCTTGCTGAGTGCTTGCCTACCTGAGTGCTGTGCTAGGTGTTTCGCAGGCACGAGCTCATTTTCAAAGACAGCACTCAGTAAAAAAAATGTTTGTCTCCTTCCCTCCACCGGAAGAGACTCTGAAATGAGAACCCATTCTGCGGCTCGTGATAGGAACCCGCCAGGCATGACCTTCCACTAGTATTTTGCCTTTTTTTCCTCGAGAAGATCGGTGTGCCAGTATTTTTTTTCCCTGGGTATGCAGCTAAAGACCCAGCCAGGCTGTCATTTTGCCCGGGCTTCTGAGGAAGTAAGGGCCAGACTTTAGCAGGTGCCACTGGGCAGCTTAGACCACCGTCTGTCTGCAGATCACAACGGGCGCAGGGTGCTGTCCTAGTCGGGGCAGGCTAGAACCCGCTGCTGTCCTCGGAAGCCACGTCCATGGCTTAGACCGCAGGAGTCGTCCTCCCCAATGTTGTTCGTGCACGGGGCACAGCTGTGGCTCTGTGTGGCGTCACCCACCCTCTCCCACCAGCCTCCGTCCAGAGCGTCGTTCCTCACTTAGTCAAAAAGAAAGATTCGTGGTCACGTATGTCCTGGCAGTAAGGGCTTCTTTCTGCCCAGAAACGACACAGCTCGCCTCTGTTCACGCGGACTTGGCCGAAGCCGTCACGTGCTGTGCCTGAGCCCGGCTCAGTGGGTCACTGTCTTCCTGCCGCGTGCTCCGCTCGAGGACTGGCATTTGGGAGCAACTCTGGTGACTCCCACGGGCCCGGGCAAAATTGGCTTCCGTTGGCCGTCGGTGCTGCTCGGGGCCACCTCCTGAGTCCAGGGAAGTTTGAAGTCTGTGTCGGCTTTCCGTTCTCCATTTGCGTGTGTGGTTTCGACAGATGCTTACTGAGACCTCGCCAGGTACCAGGTACAGTGCCGGTGCTTACACGGGCTCAGAAAGTAACTTCCAGAAGTCTGCATGTGAAGAGCTCGGTCTACTTAGGGGAATGCCCTCCCCCCAAAAAGGAGGAAATAATGGCAGTGCAATACCAAACAATTCAGTGGGATCAGCACAATGGAAAACTCTAGAAAGGCTCTGACTGCCGCAGGGTGAAAGAAGTTAGGGCTTTGCAGGCACCATACATGCAAAGAAGGTATGACCTCCTTTGAAAATCTTTAGAGCACTCACTAACCCAAGTCTCCCCTCAGCAACGGATGAATAAGATCATCTTTTAATTGTGAAACTCTGTGGAGTTCTCAGAGCGCTCTCCTATGTTATCCCCCTGCCCAACACGCATGAGAACCTCGCAAGGGAAGTGGGAGTTTTTGTCACCCGTTGACAGGTGACAAAACTGAGAGAGGATTTAAGTGACTTTCCAAGTTAGCATCTACCCTTTGTGTTATCTTTCCACTCTTCCTTCTAGTTCCACTCATCCCACATGTGGTAGAAACCACAGCCACGTCTGCGTGACGTTTGCTGTGGCCCTGTGCGAGGTTCAGTGACCTCCCCGAAAAATAAATGAACTGTGACAGTGGCCACTGTCTGTGATGCGGCCCCCTGTGATCTGTTTCATTTTTTAGCAGCCGGCCGGCCTTTCCCATCTGAGTAGCAGCACAAGGGAGCTGCCTCTCTTGGCGCTCTGACATCTGGAAGGACGGGTGTCACCTGGGCCTCGTCCTCCTCTCCGGGGCTCACACCCCACTCTGGATGTTGCCTTCCCCCGGGGAGTCCTGGGTTGCCCAGCGTGGTGATGGAATTCTTGCCACATTTTGTCAAGAGACCACACTGTCACTACATCAAAAATTAGTGATGTACTGTATGGTGACGACCATAATATTAAAAAAAAGAAGAAGAAGAAGGAGCCACATTGTCAAATGCGTAATCACGCACGGAGAGAGCCCTGCTTCCCAAGCTGGAGTGCTTAAGAGAGAAAGAAAATAGCCTGGGAATGTTCTGGTTGATCGCTCAAATATATCTCGTATGCCTGTCAACAGCAACAAAATAATTCCAAGTGTTTCCGTGCTCTCTCTCTCTTTTCTTTCCTTGCAGAGTAGAAATCCCCTTTGTGTTTCAGCTGACACAGTCTGGCCTCGTCCACGGCCTGGCGTTCTGGTTCGACGTGGCCTTTGTGGGATCTCTGTAGGTATCACCCCCTTCCACGCCCGCTCGGGCCCCGTGCCGTTCCCCACCGTGTGTGATCATGACTCCAAGGTGTCAACCACCATTCAACCACCATAACACTCATTTCTCTAGTTTCAAGAGTTTCAAAGCACTGATGCAAACAGAACTTTCAGATTTTAGTGCCAAGTCGAAATGAGACCGTTTTCTGCAGTGTCCTTTCGGCCCTGGCTAAAATCCTGGGAAACCTCTGAGGACAATTGGATTGGGATTTGAAGGAAGGACAGAGGGTCTGGGCTTTATCATCCCTCTTGGTCTTTTCCAGAATAGGTGGTGGGAAGGACCCCAGGCACCCGCCTTGGCTTTCTCTCTCACCATCCTGGTTCCAGAACAGCCTGTGTCCAGGTGCAGCCAGACTCAGGCCTTCCCCCTCTCTGATTCGCACCGTCAGCTCCGTAGGCTAGAACCCTTCCTTAGTGACCAGGCAGGCATGGATGGCTAACGCTAACAGCCTCGGCAGGTGACATCTCCATCATGGACTCCTTCCCGCTCCTGAAAAGATCCGAAACCCTAAGGGAAGAGAGGAGACAGACCACCTCCAAGTTGATTCTCAGTGTCTGGCATTTCTCGTTGGGGCTGCACTATCCCCAGGAACCCCCAAATCTGTGCTCTCCTCCGGACTCCCCCTGCTCCCTTGCCAGGCTTTCTCGTGTTCTCTGATGAGTGAAGACAGTTGCTCTGGGTCACATGACCAGGCAAACGGCAAACCTGCAGCACACTCTCCTCTACTCCGTATAAAAAAGCATGCAGGCTCACCGTTGCATCTGCAAAGAGAGAAGGACTTGTGGGTCTGTGATAAAGCTCAGGGAGATTGGGGGGCTCAGGGGGAGGGGATCCCTAGCAGCCTCATCTGGGCTGACAATCAGAGAGAAAGAAAAGGATGTATGAGTCATTCCAGAAGCATATTTGTCCAAGGGAATCCACGCATTTATGTCTCCGACTTTCCCCCAGTGAATTTGTTCCTGCGGGAGCAAGGGAGATAAGCTAGACGTGGCCTGCTCCAAGGGGAGAACTTCTTTGAAGTTAAACGCTTTATCCTAAAAAGCTTTCAAAAATTTGCATTCTACTCTAATATTCTTTGAGTATATTTTGATCTAGAAGTGGTTTATGTTACTTAGCAGCTAAATTTTGTCAGATATCCCTACAAAATCTTCAAGTCAAAATGGACCCTTCCTCCATCCAAGCCAGAGACACAGCCTGAGCCCAGGACAGGTGACCTTGGTGTTGGAGGCCCAGCCAGATGGTCTCACCTCTTCACATAAAAGGAAGAATGTCCATTTAAACACTTTCACACACATACACATGCATTAAGTCTGAGCTGGAAGGAGTGTAGAGACCATCTGCCCAGGAGCTTTTCTGGCTTCCAGAAGCCTCATCAGGTTCTCTGAACAGGTTGGCATGAGACAGTTAAGAGCTCCAGACTTCTCACCCTGACAGATGCTTTTCAAACAAATCATTTCCCAATTGAACTCTGTTACTTGTTGGGCTTCTAGTGAACGTTGATGCAGAAGTAGAGATCGATAGAGTGGCCAAGTGCACGGCTTTGAACCTGGCTCTCCAGCTGTCCTCTGTGTGGCATTGGGAAAGTCCTTTAACTTCTCTGGGCTAACCTCATTGAGCTGTTGTAAAGACTTAGGGTGATAATACACACAAAGCTCTTGGTCCAGTGCCCGGCTCATGGCGATGACCTAAACTGAGCTACCCTTATCTTCAAAGGATTCCATGAGTCAAAAACCTTGGAAGACCAACTCTCAACCCAAGTCTCCAGGGCAGCCCATTAAATTTGAGCCTGGGTTGTAAATGTCTCTTCACTCTTTTCTTGCCCCACAGGGTAACTGTTTGGCTGTCAACAGCCCCAACTGAGCCTCTGACCCATTGGTATCAGGTGCGGTGCCTTCTTCACACTCCTCTCTTTGCCAAAGAAGGAGAGACCCTCTCGGGGAAAGTGCTCTTTGTAGCCAACAGACGGTAAGCAGGAGCGTCCCGACGGGAGACCACCTCTGTGTGCTGCTCACTGATGGGGAAGGGGGTACAGGATGTGGGAGCCTTTCCAGCACCTAGAAGTGTGTGTGGCATGGTTTACCAAAGCCTGGCTGATTTTGCCAGGTGCACTCAGCTGCAGGGCTCAGGGCGGCAGGGATGGGGAGCTTGGGCTAACTCAAGGGCAGCGTTCTCCAGCTGACCGCAGAGGAAGGAAGGGCATCCATAGGCTCATGGGAGTGCTTACCAAAGGCTCGAATTATCAAGTGCTTTAAATCTCATGTCAGCTTCCTGGCCTTCCTTGCAGCTAGCCACACACCCCCAAATTTAGTATAGCAACATCGATCTGTACCCCGGGGGACAAGCACGGCAGGGCCGGTGCAGCCTGTGTCAGCCGGGACTGGCGGCTTCCCTCTGATAATGGGTTTCCCGAGGCCTTGGAAGTGATTAGTTTGATTTATCTCATTTTTAAAATGCTCTGTTTTCTCTCACCTGGCTAGAGCTTCTCCCGGGTGAATCAGAGGAGAAAGGATATAGCAGAGTGGTTCAAGGACTCTCTGGATCTTAAGGATACTCACAGGTCATCTCGCTCCACTTCCTTCCCTCCCTCCCTCTCCCACTTTCTTGGGCTTGTGCTTGAATACTCCTGTGACAGAGAGCTCACCACTTCACATACCAACCCTTCCGTTTCTGAAGTCTTGATTTCTTCCATTACAAAAACCTAACGCATTCACATGTACATTCAAAACTACAAAAGCGTCCAGAGCCCACACACACTGCCACCCCTCACCCCAGGCCCCAGATGTGACCCTGTGCTCCATAGCCTTTCAGGCGATTTTCTGTGCATATACTAACCAAAAATTTTCGTGGGGTTTTTATTGTTGTTTTACAAGAAGAGTAAACTAACAGTCTCCAACTCACATTTTTACTTAGCAGTGAGTCCTGGATCTGTGCAGACAGGTTGTTTTGTCATTTTAATAGATGTATCAGAGATGGACATAGAACATGTCTTTTTTTAAGTTGCTGTTTTTTTGTTTTGTTTTGTTTTTTGGCCATTGCGAAAAACTCTACACTAAATACCCTTAAACAGGAAGGTTGTACAGTGGCAAGAATATTTCTACGTGAGATCCCTAGAAGTGGAAATGCTAGGTCAGAGGTTATGTGTATGTTGCGCACTGATAAATACTGCTTTTCTTGGTGGTTGCGCCAACTTCCACTCACACTGCAGTGGACAGCCTTGTGCATTCCTGCACTTCTTTCCCTGCACTGCCCGTTACTGGTCTCTATAGTTTTTGCCGGACCCAAAAATCACTTTTTAAAAGTTGCATCTGGTTATTTGGTCTCAATTTCTTTAACTACTACTAAGGTTAAGTAACTTTTCATATGGTCTTTGGCTATCAATGTCATGTACTTTAGATACCTCTGATGATTACAAAATGACTCTTGCTGTCGATCTTATCTACCACTTTCTATTCATTGTACTCATTTATCTTACTTCCGCTTCTGAGGTGTTCCAACCTCCCAGCGGTGGCTGTTTAACTATTTGGAGAGTTCCTCCAAAATCCTCCCAGCCTTCCTGCCTTTTGGCTAACATCTTCAACTCCTCACTCCTATAAGAGTGATTTTTAAATCGTCTGAGATTTTAAGTTCTCCCCCTCTGGAAATGAATCCAGTTCCTGGGACGTTTCCAGAAAGTAGTTTACAAGAGAGGCATTCCTGTGGCAGGAGAGTCATGGCAGTGTTCACACGGTCTGTTTTCCTCACCTCACACTCTGTCCTGTTCAGTCCTGGCGCAGAGACATCCTGCTTCCTGCAAACATGGCTACCCAGTGCGTCTCCAGGTAGGTCTGCTGTGTCACAGTTCTAGATGCATCTCTGCCTGGGAGCCTTGCCTGCCCTAGTTCCTGCACAAGATGCTACAAACAAGGACTAAAACTTGTGCAGTTCAGAAAACGCTCCTCGTCTTCAGGGCCTGTGTTTTGGGGAGCACTCCCCGAGGACAGCTGCCCGGGGCTCTCTTGCTTCTCTTTGCACTTCTGTACTATTTCCCCTATGACCCACGACCAATCTCAAGTGCTTTTGTATCCGTCATGCATATGCTAGAGTTGGTAGATTAGATCTTTCTCGCGGTTGGACAGAAAATGAGGTCTGTGGTCTGCAGTGTCTTTCTATTCTGCTTCTTTGGGGATGGCTTTCAGGAGAAAAATGGGAGAACACTGATTTTTACCATGTTTACCCTGAAAGTTACCACTTTCTTCCTGAATCTTCATAAGCCATCTATGTAATGACCAGTTCTACAGGGGGAAAAAAAAATAAAAGGCTCAGGAACAGTAGCCCACATCAGCCTGGAATTTGGACTTGCCTTTTCTGCTTGATAAATTTTTGCTTTCAAATATTTATATGTTAACATACCACAGGGTATAATTAGGTGAGTGAATTTAAACCATCTTATTGTTTCATTACTTTTTCTAACATATCGTGGGTTTCATCCTCATCAGTCATATTTTCCTACTGTCCTCTCCTCCGTTCCCCTAGTCGGGAAGAAAGAAGCAACCATTCACCTCCCACACCTGTGTTGTGACTCCTGGCTCCTCCAGCCCTCCATCCCTTTCCTAAAATACCGATGTTATATTGCTAGTACTTGCCTTTATGTGAGCATTCCAAAAAGAAGGCCTGAGTCTCACTCTATGGCGTATCCCTCCTCACTTAATACACTTCAGAGGTTCAGCAGTGATGTGGAATGACCACTTGAATGAAGAAGTCATAGCTGATGATCCTTCTCTTAGTAAGAATTTCATCTGGCACAGCTGAAAGAAGACGCTAAGATATTATGGACCCACAATGCTTTGCAGCAGGAATAAAGGGAGGGTTTGGGAGGAAGGAAGTTCTTCATATTAGACCAGCACCGAGGTGTAGTGAGAGAGGCCAGCTTTGGGTGTCTCCTGGTTTTGTCCGGTCTCCTCTGCCCATAGTTGGTGCTTGAGTGATCTTGAGCAAGTTAATGAATTTCTCTAGCCGCAATTTATAGTAATTGTGTCATCAGGCTTGGCAGGTATTAAAGACAACATAGTATAGTCATCAGTACACAGTAGATCCACAGAAAACCTTAGCTCCATTTTCTCCTGCCTTATTCTCTTTCTTTTTCTCATTGTATCCTATCAGAGTGTTTGCTTTAAACTTCTTCTCTTCCTTGGTATTTTCTATGAACCTCTGCACTTCCTGAATGTCAGTGCTTTGACGCTCTTTTCAGTAAGGTGCTACCTGTTTTTCCTGCCTTTGGAGAGGAGAGCCCCCTTCCCTGCTGTCAAACAGTCTTTATAACCCCTGGCCTCCTGGGAGAATGTGTGTAGCCACACAGGTGTGACAGTGACTGCCCTTTTCTTCCCAGCCAGGGCCATTTATGATTGTATCATTAGCATTTTATTTTCCACCAACCCCCATCCTTCTGGAGCTCTCATTCATTTTGGTGCTTGGGACAGTCAAACAGAACTCACCTTACTTAGAAACTTTATCAAATGTATATCCCTACAGTTCGTAGAAGTGGCATCCATGAAGCTTTTTGGTCATGTGCACCTATGAGCAAAAACATTTTATGTATGTGCCCTCCAAGTATACTACCATTTATCTTTTAATTACGTGAGTGTACTACAGTAATAATAGAAAGCATAAGACAAAGTGCTTGATATAGAGATCTATGCATATATATGTATGTATATACATTTATATACTACAGACACACATGCATAGACATGTCTGTGTGTGTGTGTGTATATATATATACACACACACATAGAAATATATGTAGTGTGTATCTTAAAAGATACAAAAATAGAAATAAAAAGAATGAATGGGAAAAAAAAAACAAATATACGTAGGCTGATTTTGGGTCTAGCTCAGCAACTTACCCTGGGCCAACATTTTTTGGAACAGAACTTAAAACTTTTGGATCCCTCTGAGGGATCCAAACTCAGGTTTGCCAGGGAATTTGGTTTACAGGGAGTTTAATGAGCTTTGTTTTCGGAACTAGAAGAAATGCTGACCAGAGGGCTTGGGAGGCTCCGAGTGCTTCCCCTAACGGTCATTACTGAACTTGCTCCAGCTGGCACTCAGCTTCACTGGGCCCAAATACCTATGTATTCGGACCGCTGCATCAGAAGGAACTGCAGGGGATGCTCTCGTGCCTAATTAAGGGCAGTGAAGTAATAGTATTTGCAGACGGCCTTTTGCACAACGTTTCTTTGTCCTTCAGTGGTCCACAGAATCTTCTAGCTCGAGCCCTTTGTTCCGTTACATGCTTGGTGTCTCCTTGGTTGCATTGGTCCCCATAATCAGACTCTTACTGAACCCTCCCACCTTAACAAAACCTGAGAACTAGGTGAGCCTAACACATACCTTAACCGTTAGCTGGGGTTTAGAATCCAGCATTTACCTAGTGAATTCACTAGTGCTCAGGAGGTGTTAGGTACACAACTGTATTGGCTTCTGAGGACTGGTAAAATTCAAAATAAGAGCTCCACATTTTCTTCCATACCCCAGTGTACCATCCCTCCTCCTCTCAGGGCATGCTCAGTCCAACCCTGCTGAAGAACACTGGGGTGGTATCTATGCCAGTGAAGTTCTAGCTAACTTCCTTCAACATCAGTAAACCCTCGGTGGCTTGGGCCATTTTCTCCCCAAGCTTCCACTACTTCTGTTTCTCCAACCCCTTCTTCTTTTTTTTTTTTTTTTTTGACAGCTCTTTCCATCTTTACTTATATATATATATATATATTTAAAATTGTTTTTATTAACATATAGTATATTATTTGCCCCAGGGGTGCAGGTCTGTGAATCATTGGGCTTACACATTTCGCAGCACTCACCATAGCCCATACCCTCCCCAATGTCCATAACCCAACCACCCTATCCCTACTCCCCACCCCCCAGCAACCCTGTTTGCTCTGTGAGATTAAGAGTCTGATATGGTTTGTCTTCCTCCCAATCCCATC